GAGGGGGGAGTTCCACTTTTGACGCTGTTTGGTTGGCCCGTCGTCTCGTAGGTTTGGTCACGTCCGTACTTGACTTTAACGTGAAACGAAGATTACTAGACTTCTTTCGAAAGTCACGTGCCTGTTATAAAAGTCAGAACCACTGCAGAATTGCAGAACAACTGAACATCGTAGGACGTGCCAGTCGTATTCCATGGGATAACGAGCTTTGGAGCGCGGCGGCCAACGCTAGGAGCCGACGAACCATTCAAACAACGTCGAAAGTGAAACGTCACCGCGATCATCACCATTTTTAGTGGGTGTGCTTTTGCCTTTTAATCCAACAAAACGCATAAAACGTGCCGTGACGTAGCGGTTTCAGTCCACCATTGTGCAAGAATTCAACAGCTGCCAAGAAAAGCGGTCTTTCGAAAAGGGTCCATATCGAAATGAGAGTCTGGTGGTTTTAGTCAGGCCCTCGACCAAATTTTGACCATTGTGGATAAGAAAAAAGAAACCAAAACCACCCGCGGCATTTTTTACTCCAAAATATAACAGCCCCAGCAGTCATTTTTTTTCTTCGTAATCTCAAGAGGTTTGCATGCGGAATCCATTCATATATTTTTAAAATGCGTTTTCCTAAAAATCACGAAACAAAAAGATAATTAATCCGGCGACAAGGCTGCGTCTGCTGGCCAAGATCCACCGACGTCCAGGGTGACCTATTGTGTACATGGTCACCCCCAATACGTCGGTGGTAATAAACAACTGGTTTCAACGCACACTGCTACGCTCATTTCTCATGCCACATAGTCAAGCCATCTAGGCGCCAGTGTGTTACACAAGGGCAAAGGTTCGTGGCTCGTTCTCAAGATATGTGGGTTCGAAACATTATGGAGGCGTGGTATGTTGTCATGTTTTAAGGGAAGCTCCGGCAAAATTTTGCTAATCACTGATTTCCCTCACAATGCACCTTCTCCGAAAAGCGTTCTGCTTACGCGCGAGCGCCCGATGCCAAGCGGGCAAATTCGGCAAGATAAATCGAGGAAATTCAGAAGGAGGCTGTGGATCAGCAAGTAGAGCACGTTATTGCAGCATTTATATAATTGTGTTGCACAAAAGAAGAAAGTAGACGGAAAGAAAAACACGACATAGGGGTGGACGCCACGGATGCCCCTCTTTAAAGTCACGTCGGTCGCGCGACCAGTCAAAAACTCCGTAGGGAAAAAAATACCTAGAATAATGCCTGTACCTCTAATCGCCGTAGTCGTCAGCTGTGCAACCTGTGCCAACGTTATTAGATTAGTTCAGTTAAGGAACTTCTCATAGACGCTGCTTGCACGAGCAGTACCCATCCTTTCTCACCACGACTTGCCTGCCGTCACTCGATGCGCCGGACGGTTGCTTTGATAACTGCAGTGTGTTCCATGGGGTACGTACGTTTCGAAGCACAGCGTCTAGATAGCGCTTCAGCTCTGGTGTAAGGAAAGCACAGTTATAAAACGAAAATCTAGATTGCGCGTCGAACATGGCAGGCGGATTGAAGTGAGTGACGGGGGGGGGGGGGGGGGGGGTACCCCTTTCTGCGGGAGTTCCACAACTGAGGTATACACCAACTCATGTTTACAAACAAACCGGAGCGCCCGAAGCGCCCCTAGCGGACGCCACCGGCGCCGCGCATGCGCGATGGGGGTGTGGGCAAGAAGCTCGCCGTCGCCCATAAACGAACCATTGAAATGCGATATTGTCGGCGTCAGTGTGAGTCCCCGCGCTCTTTTTGGCGTTGAAATTGTTGATTCTACGTCCTCCTAACGATGTCTGACTACTTGAGCGGCGTCAGCGAAATTACCGAGGCTCGTTACACCGCAAAACTTAGCGTGAATCATCTGACATGCGGCGATTCATTCCGCGTGGACGCCGCAGAATGTACGCTAAAGCCTGATTCACATGATGAGATTTCGCTCGCAATTTTCAGTAGCGACGTCGCTCGGACTGCAAAAGCGTGAACCGTAGCTGAGATGTCGACGTCGATACTAAAAATCGCAAGCAGAATCTAACCAAGTGAATCAGGCATAACAAGTCGGTGATGGCCACTGGTAACAATGATCAACATCTCCTTGTATCTACTGTTTACGTCCAGCCTGCTTACGAACCTTCAAACTTAAGTCTTTTGAGGCCTGCAGTTATCTATCTCAAGTACCGGGCCAACATTTGATCTGCGAGCCGGCATCGTCTAAGAGAGCAGACGACAAGCAGAAACGTTTGAAAGAGCAGACGACAGTTGGAACGATCAGGCGGCCGTTTGAACTTGAAGACGCACTAAACGTAGTCCTCAGGTGGTCCGTACAACTTGACGATTTTCCGGCGCTCATTTTGGAACAAAATAAATAAATTTGATGACCAGAAGTATCTGTGAATTCAACCTAAAATGCTTCTCGCCCAAGCAATCGTGGTCCGACGGCGTCTGGTTTTCCCTTTCCACGGCACATATCCGCGTTCTCCGACGAACCGAGCGCATGAAAACTGACCTTCAAATCTTTCTCGACGCTTTTGGTACAGCCCCAGTCACAGCATTTTGACGAGAAAGCAGGTTTTTGTCTGGTTCCTTTCAAAACAATGCAGGAATACACGTATCACATGGGCACTTCCGCCCACAGCCCCGGACCGCAAGTGCGTCCGACGCGCTACCACCGCGGCGTGACGTAACAGAGATGAGTTCGTGTATACGTTAAACACAACAAGCTTTGAAGTCCAATCGCCATGCCAAAAGCCCAAACACTTCTGTCAGTTAACTACACTGCCCCGTGTGTTCTCAAAAACTTTCTGCTAACTGTACAGCTTTCCTAACGCTCTCGTAATCCACACAAAAAATGGCGAAGCCATCCGCATAGGACAAAATACGGGCCTCAGTTGCGTGCAACCTAAACCCACGTATTTGACTTTTACGAATTACACTTTAAACAAAAGGGCTCCGGAAGAATACAAAAAAAAAAAAAAGAAGTGGCGAGAGCGGACAACCTTGACGCACCGAAGAAAAAAGGGGAATGCGCTCACTGACCGATTTGTTCACCACTAGACTGGTGGCGCAGTTACGATACGCCATACGTACACCATTACATAAGAGCGAACCCACATTCAAGTGTTCTAAAATATAAAGAAACATTTCGTGTGACACACGGTCAAAAGCCTTTTCTAAGTCGACTTGCAGCATTGTAACCCTTGTTTGCATTGCATCACAACACTCAAGAATACTACGTGCAACGTGCACATTGGTAACACTACTCCTGCCCCTAATGCCGCATGTTTGATGAGGGCCTACGATAACGTTTATAACACTTTGTAACTGTTCAGTCAATACCTTCATTAAAATCATGTAGTCTACATTTGTTAAAGTTATCGGTCTATAACATCCAATAGAACGGAGCCGAACGGGGTTGTCACTTTTTGGGATAAAAACTGTGTGCGTACACAGGAAGGAAGGAGGCAAAACGCCGAGGTCATACGCTTCAGTAAATACGCGATGCAAGACAGGTGCAACTTGGTTTTTGAAAGTTTTGTAAAACTCACCTCCTAACCCGTCTGGGCCGGGTGATTTTCCAAGTTTCAGATTATTAATTGCCCTTTCGACTTCTTCCAAAGCAATTGGTTGTTCTAATCTTTCCCTTATTTCGTCATCGAGTTGCGACATTAGCGGCAAAAATACGCTTCGGAACTCCGCTTTCTTTGGAGCCCGATAACTAAGAGATCCTTTGTAATGTTCCACAAACGCTCGCTCGATAAACTTTCTTTCACTAGAGTTCACTAGAGAGAATTCCTTGATAAGATATCTCGGTTATTTCGTTCTTACTGGCATACTTTTTTTCCATGCCGATAACTCGTTTTGTCGGTATCTCCCCACGCGATAATCGTTTTAACTTTGCTCGAATCATGGCTCCCTCATATCGCTCTGTATCAAGAGCTTCAAGGCGTTTCTTTAAGCTCCTGATATGGTCTGAGAATAGACCGGGCGACAGGCATTCATCATGAAGTAACTGTTGTAGCAGATTATTTAACTCCATAATTTCTTTTCCTTCCGCCTGTTTCAAACAACTAGATCTTTCGATGGCGCTCTTCTTGATTTCTTGCTTCAATAATTCCCATTTCACTCCAACCCCCTATCGTTTTTTTTATATTATCTAACTCCCCCAGACATTTTTGCACCCTATTCATAAAACATTCGTCTTGTAAAAGCTTTGTATTTAACTTCCACAGTTCCTAAGTGAACTTTTTTGCATTCTCCTTTGACGAGTATATTACAAAAGAGACCAGACAATGGTCACTGAAAGGCACTTGTCCACTACATACATTTTACACACTCCGTCGAGTTCCAAATAAATCTATGCTCTATCGAGCCGCGCGTGACTTGCGCCTTGGAAGTGCGTGAACTGCAAACACTTAGAGACTGACGTGCATTGGCCAACATCTTCATGTTCACACTTCTCGACCAACTCACATAGAAAAACAGTACTCGCATTTCTGTACCGAGTGTTATTTGATCTGTCGCGCGGCTCGCAAACACAGTTAAAATCCCCCAACAAAATAACAAGCCGATCAGTTTGCAGACACTCATAAATATTTTCAACAAATACTAATCTTTTCTCCACCTTATTAGGAGCGTAAATGCACACCAGGCGAAAATTAGAATTTGAAATAGACAGATCGCACAGCACAAGTCTTCCCGATTCACAGCTAACAACTTTTGTCACAATGCCCAGAGACTTTCTAATACATAAAAGACAACCGCCCGACGTCCCAACTGCGTGTCCGACGCAGAGTCGCAGACATAGTAACCTGACTCAAAGAGCCGCACCACACTCTCCGTCTGTGCCTCGCTCTCTATTCAGTGACTCTTGCACGGCGATTACGTCGAGGCCTTTTTCGATAAACAGTCGGCTCACTTGGCATTGCCTGCGACGTGCATTTAGACCGCGCACGTTTGAAGTGCCAAGTTTCAAAGCCCTATTCAGAAAAATTTTGTTTTAGAGGGAGGCCAGTACGAGAGCACGGCACTTAGAGTGTGAGACGAATAGCGGCGTACGAGAGAACTCACTTCGTGTACTCCGTGCGGCGTTTCGGTCACTCAGGCCGGGACTTGTACCGCCCCACTTTGCCGCACCATTCCCGTTCGAGGCGCAGCTTTGCCTCCCCACTCCCAGATGCAGAGTCATCCAGCCTTCGTTTCACCGCCCAGTTTTCAGTGGTCATGACGATGTCTTCGTCGCCACCCTTGACATCTTCACTATCTTTGGGCTGAGGGTCCTCTACGGTGTCTTCCGGCGTCGCCTTCCCCTCCTTGTCGGAGGCTTCATAGCTTCCTTCTGAAGCCGTCTTGAGCGTTGGCGCCGATTGAGAAGCCCCGGCCTCTACCTCTCTTGAGCCCCCCTGTTCTCCTTGCGGCTGGCTCTGTCCTGGCAGCTCCTTCGGGGACACCCGTGCTGCTGCTTCCTCCGCCTCCTCTTCGTCCATCAGCAGCTCGGAAGCTTCCTCGGTGGCTCTGCTGCCGGCTACACGGGCGTAGGTCTTGACACAACCCCTGGTCTCGTGTCCGATGACGCGGCACTCGGAGCACAGAGGCGCCTTGCAATCACGGCGAATATGCCATGTGCGACGGCAACGGTGACATATCGGTGCGCGCCCGAGGACCACTACCAAGACGTTGCCCCCGCCGAGCCGAAGCTGGTGGGGAAAGCTTTCCAGTGGGAGTCCCTCTTTGAGGGTCATCCGGACGCCAAGGGTTGTGGACTCGACGTCGACAAAACCGTCGATCTTCCCCTTTGCCTGCGTGATTTCCTTGACGGTCCCAAACGGTTGAAAGGCCCGCCGAACTGCTTCTACAGGCACATCAAAAGAGACCTAATGGAGTTTGACACGCAGTTTCCTCCGATTTGGGCCGATCACCTGACACGCCTTCCCTTTCACCTGGACTCTCCCGACTTTTAAAAGCTTCTCCTTGGCTTACAAAGTATGCAGCTTAAGCAGCCATACGTCACTCATCTGGTAGGCGGCTCCCAGACCCGCCACGCTTGACAACACGCCCACCTGTTGCAACAGCGACCTCAAGTCTTCGATCTTGTATGGACGTTCTTCAAGGTCAGCGTGGAAAACGACGCTGAGCTTTGCCGCCTCTCCGGTGGGCAACGACGGCAGCTGCAGACGATAATCTTTCGGCGAAGAGCCAACCTTATCACCGCGGCCGGGTACGGCCGCTACAGCTGACGCGGAGCTAATAATGAGCACGTCCGTTTGCTACGGCAGCCGGAAGTGGAATCCCCCTGCGCCCGACACTTCTGACTAACATCCTTCTCTTGTGTGTTGTGTAGGTTTCTCTCTCTCTTTCATTCGTCTCTTTTGATTTGTGTGGGATTTGATGCCTATATAAGCACCCTTCGTTCTCAAACAAAATTCAGCTGTGTTTGAGACTTTGTGTTTGTCCGTCCCTTATTTTCCCAGTCTCGTTTTTTTTTTTTGTAATGTTTAACCACCACCAGCTCGTTTGTGCCCTCACCTTTTGTTCACTCATCCTTCTCTCCCCGCGGCGTATATAAGCTTGACATGTGCGGGTGAGCTCTTTGGTCGCCGGGCCGTAACAGTTTTATAGAAGAAACAAAACACGGCACAATCGACAGCCATATGTAAGAACTGTTTGCATTTAAAAAGTATGGAGGAAAAATTTATAACGTTAGTTCGTTGGGAAAGACAGCGATGTATTAACAATAAATCTTAAACCGGCCATGGAAAAGTTCAAATTTTTGTTATTTTTATGCTCGACTAGTGTTACGAGCAGTCCGACTAGCTTGAATCAGATAGAAAAACAAATTATTGGGATTTTAGCATTATGTATTCAATATTCCATGGAAATTATCCTTGCGCAAAGCACTGCATTTTTTATATAATTTTTTTGAAGGACATCCGCCCAACACTTCACTTCAGCTAGTTGCAGTACGCGTACGGGAGCAGACGCCTTAACTTTTGGGGCGTTTTGATGCAGTTTCTTGTCGTGGGTCTGTCGGTGTTGAGTGAAGCTTGCGAGATTGTAAATTGAGAAAATAAAACGCATCAGCGCCACTAATGTGGCGCTGATGCGTTTTATTTTATATATATAGTTTTTTTTTTATACCGCCATTACCCCGAACATTGAAAATTCACGGGCCCGTGGCACTGCATTATGCTGAATCGCGAGCGCCTTCTCTGTTGACGCCGTTTTCCTGGTACCACTCGTGGATACTGCAAGGTTTTAAACAGTGGGCACCGTCTTGCCTACATCTGCGGTGACGTACTCGACCTGCTTAAACTTATTGCTTCCGTCATTTTGGAGTACGCAAGGCAGTTCTCTCGCTGCTCTGGTTTTGGTTATAAAAGCAAGGCAAAACGCTCGTAGTTCCCGCCCTCAGTACACGTTGGACATCTCCCACACTTTGACACCGGATAACTGAATGAACGAGGATCTACATTCACTTCAGACGTCACTCTCACCTCTTCCTCACCGTCGAGCAGCAGGATCAGCTGGCGACAAGCCGCGGATGAAAGGCTTGAGCATCAACAGCCCAAGTGCACTCGGTGCCGATGCGGGCGATGTGGGTTTCTGTCAACCGGTAGCCCAGCACAAACCGTGACCATTCCAGCTCTTCGTCATGACACGGTGTTGCAGAGAGCAGGGTATAATACAACTACACAGCCCACCGAAGCAAACGTACTGTTATCGTAAATCTTGGCTTGTGATCGTGCCTTTGTAGATCATCTTATTCTTTTGCTGGAGACGCAAACGACAGGCATAACAAAATCGCTTGCATATTCCGCATGCCTCGCAAAGGCATTAGGGAGTTTTCGTAGATCGTTTTCGCCGTCCCGCAAGGCCCTCCGCAACCCGCTACGATAGCGGGAACTCCACAGTCAAGGCTATCGGCGCGCAGGCGCAGTAGCAATTTCTTCGTTGCGGAACGCTTAGCGGAAGGGGCAGCGCGGTCTACGAAAACTCCCTATTTACCCAGTCACCTTGCGAAAAGCGCAAAACACGGAGTCCGCGCCGTCGTGACTTCCCCTGTCTTTTACCTGCTTTAGAGCAGTATGTACCTGCTAGTAGGTATGCCTACTAAAACTGAAACTTGAAACTAGGGGCAGTGCCAGCGATAAAAAAGACAAAGTTGGGAAAGCTTGCTCGCTCTCCCCAATTTCCGAAATCTCAATTGGTTGTACCATAATAAATGCACCAACGCCTCTCCCCAAAATGAAGAAAAAGCACTATGTTCATTATGTAAAACATGGTCTCAGTTCATGCATCTGTGGGCAGGTAGAAAATATTGGCCTAATTTATTCACACCAAATGATGAGCGCAACTAACTCACACGAGATTTAGAGAAAAATTTCAGTGGCGATGGCGACAAAGAGTTGAAACGTTCGTGGTGTGTGGTGTGGTGCTTGGAGGTAGAAGCCCATACTAACACGAAGCGCAAACTGGTTATTGTGCGGTTGAAATTCAACGGGTTCAGTCTCGTTGTCGTCAGCTGATCCCGTCCAGCTGGTCCGGGAGGACGCAGCGAGCGTTTTTAAAATTAAATCTTCCTTCGTTCCGTTTCAAAATGTGGAAGATTCTCGACGCATACCGTGAGTAAAACGCTGCGCGCGTTTTTAACAAAATTACGTCGTTTGAATTTAACAATGGACTCCGGAGTATTGTCCTAGACCTGCCTTTTTTATGCTTCGTGTTGTTGGCGTTTGCACAGCGACGCACACCGCCCGAGCAGATGATTCGGTCCTGCAAACGACCGGTCATACAGAATTTCAGGGAAACTTAAGTCACTACCGATATTTTCTTGTAAATCTAGTGCGAGTTTGTTGCGCTCATCATGCGGTGTGAATAAATTAGGGCAACGTTTCCCACCTGCCTGCGGATGCATGAACTGAGACCATTTTTTACGTAGTGAACATAGAGTTTTTTCTTTATTTTGGAAAGAGGTGTTGGTGAATTTATTATGGTACAATCGCTTGAGAGTTTAGAAATCGGGGAGAGCGAGCCTGCTTTCCCAACTTTGTCTCTTTTCTCTCTGGCATTGCCCCTAGTTTCAAGTTGCAGTTCCAGTAGACATACCTACTAGCAGGTACAAACTGCTCTAAACAGGTAAAAGACTGGGAAGTCAGGGCGGTGCGGACTCCGTGTTTCGCGCTTTTCGCAAGGTGACTGGGTAAGTGCTTTTGCGAGGTATGCGGAATACACAAACGATTTTGTTATGCCGGTCGGTTGCGTCTCTCCAGCAAAACGAATAAGATGATTTACTACAAAGGCGCAATCACAAGCCAAGATTTACGATAACAGTGCATTTGATTCGGTGGTCCGTGTAGTTGTATTTTTCCCCGCTTTCTGCAACACCGTGTCATGACGAAGAGCTGGAACGTTCACGGCTTGTGCTGGCTACCGGTTAACCCAAGGGCGGATCCAAGCTTTTTATTTTATTTCTTTTTTTTTTTAGGGGGGGGGGGGAGGAGGAGGAGGGGAGGGAAAATCTAAAGCAAGATAAACAGGACTCCGGTTGCGCCTTTTGTTTTAACCGCCGCAGAACCACACTGCGCCGACGGCCCCTAGATGTGCGCCGCTGCGCCGACTTTTGGTTCTAAGCCGTGCTTTGAAACCGCTGCCGCGGACTTAAGACTCGGTTGAAGCGACGGAGTGGTTCTCCAAGTTCAGAGTACAAGTGTGCCTGATAGGGTGCGACCTACCCTATTTCGAACCCTCGTCCTTGAGTACCGAGCCTTCTACCACCTGGCAGGCCGGTAGTCGGTTTTATTTCGGGGGAGCCACCCTTGTCAAATCGCTCTCTGCCGGAGGGGGACAGGGGGGAAGGGGGGTCGACTGTTTGGAGGGGGGCGCAGCCGCCGCCCCCCCCCCCCCCCCCCCTTCTTGGGTCTGCCCCCGGGTTGACAGAAGCCCGCGTCGCCCGCATCGGCACTGAGTGCCCTTTAGCGGTTTTAGTGGCTCTAGGCTGTTGATGCTCAAGCCTTTCATCCGCGGCTGGCCGCCAGCTGATCCGGCTGCTCGACGGTGAGGAGCGGCGAAAGTGACCTCTGAAGTAAATCTAAATCCTCGTTCATCCACTTATCCGATGTCAAAGTGTGGAAGCTGTCCAACGTGTTCTGAGGGCGGGAACTACGAGCGTTTTGCCTTGCTTTCGTAACCGAAACCAGAACAGCGAGATAACTGCCTTGCGTACTCCAAAATGATGAAAGCAATCAGTCGTCAAAAACCCGTTTTAGAGTTTAAAACCAAGTGAACAAGACAAATATAATTAAACTTCGTTGTCTGTGTGCAGGAAGAGTTAGGTAATGCAACAATGCATTCTCTTTCCAAAACGAAAAAGAAAGTAAAACTCAGTCCGCCGTATATGGCAGCGACTTCTTCGCTGCAAAACCAATGCTGTTGTAAAACCGCTATGTAAGCGGTTTTAATATGGCAGCCTCCGCTTTGCGCCGCGTTCCGTTTCCCTCCTTCCCCCCCTGCCTCAAACCAAAACAATAGCGGCGCCATGCGTTGGTTGCCAGATTTTCTCCGGTCAAACAAAAACAACGAAAGCAAACCAGCTCTAGCTTCCAGCGTACATCGGCGTTGCGCCATGGCCAGATTTTCTGGCAGCTCGAACTTAAGATGACCTACAAATGCAGCAACACCGCGGCCACCACGGAGCGCCGTAAATTAGGGGTGTCGCGAACTTTTGTCGAACCGGAGTTTTAGGTCGAACCGGTTCGACGAA